CTGCCGAGGGAGCCGAGCTGCACTTGGGCGAAGGCAGTGCGGTGGCTGCGGGAGAGAGACGGCAGGTGGAGGAGCAAGAGGAGAATGCTTCCTTGCAAGCCAACAGCACTTGTAGCAGCCGTGCTGAGCACGAAGAGCATAGCGAGCAACTGAGCAGCTGGGCTTCTGTGCCAGCAGGCAGTGCCTCTCTGGAGGCAGAAAAGGGAAAGGGAACATACACGGAGGAACTGGATGGCAAGTGTCCAGCTCCAAATCCTTCTGGACAGGAAAATGTTGACAGGATTTCCACCAGTTCCAGAAAGCAGTTAGAAACTGGTCCCCAGGAACCTTTGAAGGCCACTGGCATGCTGTCCAATGGAGGAGGCTGTCCCATGAGGAACACCACCTGCCAAGACATTCCCAGCCAGGTGTCCCTGGCACCAAGCGCCCCTTGCCAGGAGATCCCAGGTCCTGCCCTGGGCATCCCCTGCCTGGATGAAGACAACGGCAAAGGCGATGCTGGAAGGAGTGTGCCCTGTGAGGAGCCTGGCCGGCTGGGGAGAGTCCCGCTGGAGCAATGGCGCAAGCCCATTTCCCAGAGCCAAAGCAGCGAGTTCTCCTTCCTGGGGACCAACTGGGACAGTTTTCAAGGAATGGTGACATCGCTCCCCAATGGGGAACCTGTGCCCAGAAATCTCCTCTCCTACGGCTGCTGCAGCAAGAGGTTGAGCGGCAAACCGCTGCGGGCGCCGGGCCTGTGCCTCAGCGGCCAGTGGTCTGCAAGAGAAGGTGTGAAACCCTCTGTCTGCTCTGGCCACGTCGGCACGCATTTTGCAGGCCCTGCAGGGAAGCCCAGCCGTTCGTGGCTCCCCTGCCACCTGAAACAAGCGTCTGGTCCCAAGCACGTGCCACCAAAATGTCCATCTCCTGTGCCTCCTCTCTACCTGGACGATGACGGGCTCCCCTTCCCCACGGACGTGATCCAGCACAGGCTGCGGCAGATTGAGGCCAGCTACAAGCAGGAGGTGGAGCAGCTGCGCAGGCAGGTGCGAGAGCTGCAGCTGCGCCTGGATATCCGCCACTTCTGCGCCCCTCCGGCCGAGCCTCCGATGGACTACGAGGATGACTTTGTAAGTAACCGCCTCTAACGCCCCAACTCCGGCAGCGCGGTGATCCCTGCGCCCCCCTCCCATCGCCCTCTCCTACCCACACCTCTCACTCTCTTACCTTTGGAGTGGGCAGTTAAGATCGTTCCTGTGTTTCCTCAGCGCTGTTCCCCTCCTGTCCATGTGCTGTGTCCTCATGCCACCCAGAGGTCTCTCTGCTTCTCGAGGGCCGAGCAATGGCTCCTTCGCGGTCATGAGTGCTTTACCTCCCTGCATGGGGAGCTGTGGAGCCACCCACGTGCCCCTCACAAGCACCAAGTGTGGCCAGAGTGGGGAATGCCCTCGACCCTGCGATTTGAGGCTGCTGAGGGGATCTGTGACTTCGTCTCTTTTTTGCAGACATGTCTGAAGGAATCGGATGGCAGCGACACTGAGGATTTCTGTTCTGATCATAGTGAAGACTGTTTGTCAGAAGCGAGCTGGGAGCCTGTTGATAAGAAGGAGACTGAGGTACGTGCCCTGTTATGGCAGCTGTAATGCAGCAGGAGGGAATGTTTCTTTGCAACTGACTTTGGTGGTTACAGCAGCAGAGAGCGGGCTGGAAGCTGTGTCCTTTAACACATCCTCTGCTGCTGCTGTGACCGATAGGAGGGGACCTGTGGGGTGGGCTCCCTCTGAGCTAGCCTCTGGTGGTCCAAAGCCACATCCCAACCTGTGCTGGGGTCCTCAGACCTGGTCTTTGTGGTGTTACAAACTTAAAGCTGATGAGGACTGGTGTCTGCCCTAGGTCACGCGGTGGGTTCCGGACCACATGGCCTCGCATTGTTTTAACTGCGATTGTGAATTCTGGCTGGCCAAACGGAGACATCACTGCAGGTAAACAATATTATCCCTGTAGTTCCACTCTTCTTCTCAGCCCGTTTCTCGCAAACCTCACAAAATGCCTGGCTGCGATGTTTGTTCCCTCCAGCTCCCAGGGGAAAGTTTTAGGTCTTTTCTTTATTTGCCAGGTGTCGTAAATTCCCTGTGGATTCCTATTCCACATTGTTCTTGTTTCTATTTTTCCAAGGCCTTTGATCCTTCTCCTGGGTAGTAATGCCCATTAGTCCCTTCTTAGTGGTAGGCAGTTAGCTGGCACTGGAGACCCCAGTATAGACTTTAAGAAACAAGCTGACAAGTTGTAAGTAAGGCTGGTACTTTGCCCCTGAGTTGGGTCATTTGCAGTGGCTGAAGTTCTGCTGTGGTGTTCCCAGCTCTCTTTTCACTAGTTTTCTTGCTCCTCGACAGGAATTGTGGGAACGTGTTTTGCGCTGGTTGCTGCCACCTGAAGTTGCCCATCCCTGATCAGCAGTTGTACGACCCTGTCCTCGTTTGTAACTCCTGTTATGACCACATCCAAGTGTCTCGTGCCAGGGAGCTCATGAGCCAACATCTGAAGAAACCCATCGCCACGGCTTCCAGCTGAACGCCAGACGAGGGACCTGTCTAAGCCCAGCCTTTTCTCTCGTGGGTTTGAAGGGTGACTCTGCCTCCACTGTAACTGTGAAGGCCGTTGGTGCAACACTTGAACACCAAGCTTGAATGCGCTGTCTTCAGCAGTCTTACTGTCAGTCTGGAGCAGAGGAGCTCAGATTAGAGTATGGTATGTGTCCCCACTCTGGTACCGGTGGGCCCGTACATTGTAGTCTGACGACCTAGGGCTAAAGAGGGGATTGCAACCTCTTTCTTTTGTGGGCTGGAAAGAAATGTTTTCACAGATATTGCCTGTGCGAAGTACCCCCAAAGCAATAGAAAGGCATGTTTAGAACCAACTTCCCCTTCAAAGGCAGGCTGCTGTACGAGAGGGAAGAGGGCAGACTCCAGGTGGTACCGAGTGCTTTGGGAGGGCCTCAGCCTGGAGCAGTTCTGTAGATTCTCTTTCCATGAGTGTGATTTGCGATCAGCTTGGTGAACAAGACTCATTAGCCATCACTAATCGATTTTTCTCTTGAGTGTTGAAGAGAAATTCACTCTGGCTGAAAACGGGTCGAGCAGATTTCGCCCGTTTTTACGCTCCGCTGGGATCGGTGAACGCACTTGACTTTGCCCCTGACCCCCAACACTGCGGGGAGACGGGAGATCGGCTTTTTCACTTCTGCTCTGCCCGTCTGCTTTGTCTGCGGTAGTGTCACAGCCTGGTGCTAACACAGGAATGGCACCCTGATCCTCTCCTGGCATGGAAACAGAACTCGTGTTCCTGTGTTGCTCCTCCTCCCCCTTTCTGCCCTCAGCTCTCCACTTCTTACTGCTCTTTATCCTGAAAACTTGATACCTTGAGGGTATAGGCCATAATGTGTTGTTTTACCTCCTGGAATGTGCTGTCTGGTGTATGTGAGGGTTTCAGTCCAAATGCTGCTATATATTTCTGTGCACTTAATGTAACCCGAAGAAGGGAGAATGAAGCATCAATACCAAAACGGGGGTGGGGAAGGACACTGGCTGACATAGACACTATGGTCTGTGCTTTTCACTTTAGGATGTATACCCAAGCTACAGCGATAAATGTGACCTGTTCAGTGGTGGAAACAATCTCTGACTTGCCCCAGCGCCACCTAAAATGCCTCTCGAATTTGACTTCTTTTTTTGTCTCCCGTACAGTGGTCAAAGTTCAGAGTTGCCAACTTGTAATTGCCTCTCTACTTCTTTAAAGTAGAGAGGAGGAATCTCAACTCATTCTAAGGAGAAGGAACTGGGTTTAGAAAGAAAGAAAGGCTTAGAAAGAAAGTGGGTTTCAGGTGGGCTTTTAATCCCTAGATCCCTCGGGGAGGATCCATCCTGCCTCCTTTCTACGAAATCTGCAGATATTAATGAGGAAGAAGAGTTTGAAAGTGGGGCATTTCTTTGCAGAAATGCAGGTTTTCTTTCCAGCTAAATGAAAATGTCTGAGATATTCTGCACCTCATGAGCTGAGAGTTCATACGTGGCAGGGGGGAGGACCTGTGAGGACATTTGGTCTACTGACAAGGCAAAGTACTCTATCCTGTTGTGATCTCCCTGATTTTTTTGCTAATGGTTTGTCATCTCCGTCGGAGGGAATGGAACAGTGACCCTTTCCTGCACTTTGATATGTCAGCCTCTGGTTTTGTAAATCCCAATAGTGCAAGCAAAGCTAGCGTCATCGGAAGACCCTGTACTTACTTGGACTCTGCTTCTTTTCCATACTGGGAACAACCAATACGGCTTTGGGAAGAGAAGGCACCTTGCTTCAGATTCTCCCCTGCCTTGTACCTTGCAGTCGTTGCCAGACATGGAAGAGTGACCATTGGGCTGGCAGAAGAAACTGGATCTGCTCCTGTTTTGCACATGTTGGAATGACTGCAAGCAATAAGGAAGCCAGAAACTAGGTACTCCTGGCCCTTCCATTCAGGCCACTAGTCCAAACTGCTTTTAGCTCTTGTGAGTTTCAGCGTCACAATGTGCTGGCCAAAAAAACTCTAAAATCAGTTTGATAGCATTGTGACAAACAAAATGTGCTGTACAACTCAATACAGTCGAAATAAAATCTCTATATTAGTGCTGCTGTGTTGGGACCCGTTCTTTCATTTGTGGTGAATTCTTCTTGCACAACGTTTCCCAGGCTGCTGTGACTTACTGCCTTTCTCCATTGCTTAAGGTATGTTAGGAATTTAATATGCCTTCTCACAAATGAGAATCAAGGGTAGGACACACCTCCGAGGCACTCTGCTCTCTTCCAAACAAACCTTCAGCTGCCCGGGGTCCCAGCCCCTTCCAGCCTGTCCCACAAGGACTCGGAGAGGAATTTTTCTTTTCCAAAGAGGAGCTGTTGGGCAGGATTCACTGGCTCTTCACCAACATATCTCTACTGCTTTTCACCTGGTAGGTTGTGTGGTTATGCTCCCTTGTGCAGAACGACGGATGGGGACTGTTGTGCTCTGTCAGCTTGATGCGCCAGGGGCTACGTGGGTAAGTCACTGTTTGTGGTTGAGCTGGAGAGAATCTTCTAGAAAGCCTGTCCTCAATTTAAAGCATCCAGGGATCTTAAAATTGAGCCAATCCTTGGTAAACTACTCTCATAGTTGAGGTCAGTGTTCGTGTCAGACAGGTAGTACCTAAATGCCTTGTTGTATTAGAAATGTTAGGAGCAAGATAGCTTGTCGCATTTAAAAATTAACCATTGCTCCTGAAAAAGTCACGCAAAAGAAGGTCATCGTTGGAGGCAATGTTGCTGAATATTAATCACGAATGATGTTTTCACAAGAAAGGACAGTCTACTGATTAACTTCCAGGCTCTTGTCGTCTTGGCAGGCGGTGGAAGGTGAGCTGCTGGGACCAGTGTGTGACCCGTTGGCTTCCCATCACCAGCTGGGACCATGCTTCGGCAGGATTTCCCTGCTGCACCCAAAGCTGAATGTAGGCATTTTGCTGAGACACTAGTGATTTGTAATGTCAGGCTGGCCACGCCAGCAAAGGGCACTATTGAGCACAGAACAAAGCATTATCACTTAAAGAATATAAAGCCATAATTTGCCGAGACACTCAGCCTGAGGTAATCTATACGTGCACTGAAATGTGCCTAAACCGAGCACAAACACCGAGATCAAAGCCTTCCCCTATCAGTGCGCTAACTGCCCTGAATTCTTAGCAAATTAACAACCGGAACTGCTTATGATGTACCATAATATCTCATCAGCCACTGAACAAAATAAACACAGATTTAGTGAGAAGGTGTAGTGAGAAGCCAGGTCAAGCTTGCCATGGTTGGTATTATTCAGCTGCGAAGCCGTTAATAGATAATGCCAGAACTGCCGGGAATGTGAAGAGACATGTCAAGCTGTGGTTATGAAAGGAGAGGGGAGGGAGGTGACGTGCGGCCGCCTTGTCAACCCTGCGGTGCTGAGCGGGGGAGGGCTGAGGGTGCGGGCTTTCCGAGGGGGCGCTCGGGGTGTGTCCGTCCATTCGGTTTTCAGTGTAAGAGAGAAATAGTATGTTTCTCTCCCAAAATGTTTGGATTCTGTGAAAGTGAACTTTGGGCACTGCCGTTTGTTCATGGTACCTTGGGTATCTCTGTATCTCAAAAGTTAAAATTAATGTGCCAAATTGGCCTTAGATATACAGGATGCATGCGTCTTTTGTTTAAAATCATCACTTAAAAAGTTGCCCAAAGCAGCACACGACTTCAATCTCACAAACTTTAGGCCAGTCATGCCACTTTACTCTCCCACACAAGCGTAGTTGTTCCTGATGTGTTTGTACGCAGTTCTTACTGAATGCCCAGGCAGTTCCGAGCCCGTGTCCACCTCTGGGTTGACAAACCGGGTGCTGCGTGACCTGGCTGGACTGGCCCACGCTGGTGGAGTGCTTGGGCGCGGTGACAGTGGCCTGAGGGTATGCCTTGGCTGGGGATCTGCAAGCGTTGTATTCATCGTTGCAAGTGCCACTGCGCTTTACTGACTGTAGACTGTAAAGTACTCCCTGATACCTTCTAATAAAATTGTCTTGTTCAAAATCAAACTAGAAAATTTGATATAGGGGCAAAGAACAACATATCTTCACTCGTAGTCAGAAAAAAAAATGCAGATTTCTTTTAATTTAGATTTGCAGAAAGACAAAATTTTTACTTTTTTTTTTTTAATGGCTGCAAAGGCACTGGCCAAAGGAAAGCGTTTGGCACAGCTGTGTCAGAAATAAAGACTAATGTGTGGCTTAACAGATTCAGGATATACACTGTGCAGAGCATCTTCCTTTTGAGTGCGGGGTAGGTAAGCTATCTGCTAAAATAGTTGATTTTAGTGGTATTGAAAGGAGGGAGGCACGCAGCATCACAGACTTGCAACAGGTGAGTGTTCGAAGAGAAACACATTTAATAGAGTCAACAGAGCCAGAATTCCTGCGTGGACCTGCAGTTCCCGATTGGTGAGTGAATTGCAGAGGCAGCAGCGGTGCCGCCGGACCCACAGCTGCGCGTGAAGGAAACCCAGGCCATGGGGAGGAGAGAATTTGGGAGGATTGCGCTCCTGACCTCACTTCAGAGCCACAGCATCATAGTTTGAGGAAGAAAGAGTGAACACTGTAGGTCAGCGTGGGGCTGGAAGGGTGAGCGAAGGCTGGAGGAGGGGATAAAAGCACGCAAAGAGGTAGTGAGGAAGCAGCAGCAAGGCTGGCTGAAAAGGCTGTTACCTGTAAATCCTGTGCAGTTCAACAGCTTTTGACTGAGCTACACCATTTCTTGCTAAAAAGCATTTCATTATTATTGATGCGTTCCAAGTGAGAGGAAGCTTCCAGTGTTCCCTGGAATGTGTTGTTCTGGGGAGCCCCTGCGCTAAGTCTAAGGCACGAACAGTTTGGAGGGTGATCTACCAGGAGAGCTCGAGGGACCGTTACCTCTTTTGTCACCAGCTAAGTGTCCTCGCTGCTCTGAGGGGAGTGTCCCTCGGCCAGCCAAGTGTCCTCGCTGCCGGTGAGCTACCAAGCTGTTCCCTTGGTGCTGTACCTCCTGCAGCACCCACCGTAAGAGCGTGTCTCATCTGACCTGGCGCGAGCAGCGAGGTGCTGAAAGGCGTGAGCCGTGGCTTTGCTGGGAGCGTGCCGCACTCCGGATGCTGATGAAAAACATCACTCTGTCTTTAAAAAGTCATCTGTTTTGCAGCTACGGGCTCAGCTTCAAAGTACTGAAGGAAATGCTTAGAAGGGACTTGTTTCTGGGCTTTAGTTTCAGGGTTTTTTTAGTTTTAGGGACTCAGTCTCTGCATCGCGGTTGTGGCCTACAGAGCACTGGCTCTGCCCCCGGTTACGGACGATGTAATGAAAACCTCACCTGACTGCGACTACCTGACAGCGGGACTTGTTGCACTCCTGCTGCACAGGAAGAGAGGGGAGAAGCCTTAAAGCGCTTCATTGAAGCAATGCAAAAGGTAATTTTTTGTGAAGTGGACTTTTTTCTTAATTTTTCAGGTTTGCGTTCAGTATGCTTTTCTTGAGTTTTGGCTGTTTACACTGAGCAACCATTACGTAATTCTTAAGAGACTAAATTATTACTGAGAAAACAAAAATGCAAAGCCTCTTGGGAAGGCGGTGGCACGAGTTCACTAGAATTGTAGGCCATTAATTCCTTGGGTAAAGCAACCTCCTCCTTTGGTGCAGGATTTTAGCTTTGATGACAACGCTGACAAAATTTCTGCTCCTTCCCGCTGACTCAGAATAATGATAAATGTGCTCAATCTGCCAAAGACAGGCAGAGACTGAGAAATAATCAGCCAGTCTGCTGAAAAAAGAGGCAAAAATAATATCCTCTGATCTCTCCTTATCACTGTTTTTCCTCGTCCTGTTTCCTGTTTTACCTGTCTGCTTTAAGTGGGGAACTCTGTTAGCAACCCCACCCAAAATATTTAAGCTAGTCAGTCTAGCATCTTTTTCCTCATTTCAGCTATGCGGAAGAGCAGAGTGATTTTGCTTTCAGTTTACAAATAGGAACAGTTTCTCATCAGTTTATTCAATTCTGTCCCCTTTCCAAAACTTCCTGCACTTTCACTTGCCTCAGTGGTTTGGGGCTGTGCTGTAAACCAAAGCAATGAGGATTATTTCAGTTAAAGAAGGGGTTTGGTTTTGCGCCTTCTTGCTAAGAAATCTTATGACAACTCTAAGATAATGTATTTAAGGCCAGGAAATATACAGGTGCTCGCTCTTCTCACTTCTTGCTCCGAGTGCAGCCAAGATAGAAGAATGTCATTTTCTTCTTCTGTCACTGCTGGTGGCCCCTGGATAGGATGCAGAGAGAGAGAGACAGAGAGATTACCACAAAGCTCCTTGCTGCTCTTCCCCTTTTGGTTCACAGCAGGCTTATGTTCTCAAACAGTAAGAATAGTTAGGCTAGGCTGGAAAAAAAAAAGTCCCTGTAGTCTGCCTCTAACAGCAGAACCCTGAGAAGAGTTCGGAAGGACAGACGTGTACTAGGACGTCTCAGGTACGAACCCAGAGCTTCCACCACAGCACATTTTGAGGACTAACAGTGACAAAGGTGCTATATTAAGAGCCTTTAAGGGCTATATTCTTTGTGAATATAGCTAATTTCCCCCAACCAAGTAACATTTTGGTTCCCAAAACATCCCGTTGCAATTAGTTCCCCAATTTCCCTCTGATTACGTACCTGATTTGATTTCTTCTATCTGATGTCCTCCATTAGTCACACTCACGTTCATACTACCTACAATTTTACTACCTACCTTTTTATATATATTGAAAAAAACCTCTGAAGATTTCTTCAGTATTCCCTTCTGCTGAAGCTAGTTCATATCCTTGGTGCTGATTTTCTCCATCCCTTTTTAACTCTACCCAATCTGTTCTGGAACTGCACGCGTTTGGGTGTTTTTAGGGCAAACACGACACTTACAATCCCTGATTTGTTCTGTGTTCCTTTTCCAACCCCGTCTAAACTCACTTTCTATTCCCTTTTGCTGACTGCCCGTGAACTTTAAGCTGATGCTTTCCAACATGTGCTCCGACTCCATCCTGTCTTTCCCGAGTGGCTGTTGGCCCTCTGCGCCCTCCATGGCGTGGGCGCCACCGGCACTGACCACGGCGTGGGCACCGCGGGCACTGACCACGGCGGCGTTGCCCCACCGCCCGCCTCTTCCCCAGGCCCTGGTCACCAGTGGGCCCACCCGCGCTCCACCACCGCGCGCTCCTCCTGAAGAAGTGAGGACGATCAGCCGAAATCGCCTCGCTCACCACCACCCTCTTCTCAAGATTATTACTCTGTGGGATGTAATAATCCCTGTTGTGAGCCCCCAGCCCTTCAGTCCTGCTCCTCTCCCCCCGGCAGCCCCGAGCGCGGCCCTCCGCCCG